CTTTACATGGGTACATAGGAAACTATGTTCTACTGAGTCATTGGAACATCTAGTTCAGGCATCCCCAAACTCAGCCCTCCAGATGTTTTGGGACTACAGTTCCATCATCCCTGATCACTGGTCCTATTAGCTAGGGATGATGGGAGTTGTAGTTCCAAAACATCTGGAGGGCCAAGTTTGGGGGTGCCTGATCTGGTTCAATATTTTCCACACTGATTGGCTGTGGCTCTCCAGAGTTTTAGACAGGATGCTTGCTGATTTCTTCTCCTACCACAAGACGATCTCCTACAAGGATTTCATGGCCCAGATCTTCTTCCTCCATTTTCTTGGTGGGTCCGAGTTCTTCCTTATCATTGCCATGGCCATTGGCTGCTATGTGGCCTGTTGTCACCTGCTGCACTACACCAGTCTAGTCGCCAGAGCAGTCTACTGCATTTCGGCCCTAGCATCATGGTGTCTAGTATTTGTGCACTCCGTCATCCAAATTATCCTTATCATGCCACTCCCCCTTTGTGGCCCCAATGAGCTAGACAACTTCTTCTGTGACATTAACCAGATTGTCAGGTTGGCCTGCACAGGTTCCCACATCCTGGAGTTCATCATGTTCTTCAACAGTGGTCTGGCCGACTTTTATCCTTCTCCTCATCTCCTATGGAGCCCTTCTGGTCAAGGTGAGGATAGGATCTGACCAAGAGAAGAGCAAAGCTGCCTCCATCTGCATCACCACATCATCTTCATCTTCATCATGTTCGTCATCTACCTCTACTGCTGTCCCTTCCAGGACTATCCCTTCGACAAGGTGGTGGCCATTTTCCACACTGTAGTCTTCCCCCTAATGAATCCCATGATCTACACACTGAGGAACATGGAGATCAAACAAGCCACGTGGAAGCTGATGGGCAAACACAGATTTTGGGGTATGAAATGAAAGAAAGTAATTAGTGATGGAGTTTGAAGAAGTGGGTTTGCCAAAGCATAAGGCTAGGTGGACAATCTTTCTCAGGCTGAGGGCCACATTAGCTTCTGTGCAACCTTCTGGGGGCCACACACTAGTGGTGGGCAGAGCCAGAAGCAAAAGTGGGCAAAGGAATAAATATGAATTCAACTTTTGTACAAGAGTGAGATGGGTGGAGCTATTGCTTAGCAACCAGGCAGATTGGCATGATCATTAATGCTGTAACATGTGCCCTAATTCAATGTGTCCTTTCACTAGCTTCTAAACCTCACAGCTACATGATCGTAAGACTGAAAGGGAACCACAAATGTCACCCAGACTGACCCTCCAATCCTATAACATTGTACACTGCTGCGGAAGTGAAGTCTCATTCCAGTCTGGATTCATTCTTGATTCATCTCCCACCTTCCCTTCCTGGGGGATGCTGCCATCACTTGCAAACCCAGCCACTATCTTTTTTTCTTTTTCTTTTTAACAAGCTCCCTGAACTCCAAGTTGGGCTTCCTTCCAGGTCTAAACATGGAGCAGATCCATTCTCCCATTCAAGGGATTCTCATGGGGCAGGAGCTGATTTAGTATTGGGAGGTGTGAAGACCTGTGGCCAACTAAGGGCATCTCTTGTCGCACCAAGATCCTGCATGGTAAGTCATTCCTGATGCTCCTCTTCTGCCTTTCCTTCATTGATTCTCTCTCTCTCTCTCTCTTCACATCCTATTCTGCTAACCAACCATTCCTCCAGTGTCTACCTGTGTCTTATTTGAACCTAAGATTGTTTGAGCTTTAAACTATTTTGAAAGGGCCAAGACTATGACACAGCAGCCTTGTGGAAAGCATGTCTACGTCTGGTTCAGGAAACCAGGTGAAAATTCAGGATGGGGCTCCTCCTGCTCTAATAGGTCATAGAACAGAGAATTTCAGCTTCTCTTTATATATATATTTAACGTATCATTTCCAACAGTCCTTTAACATAACTTCTTATCTCATACAATATTTTAGACTTCCGTCAACAACCTCTGAAGATTTTCCGTTCTTTATCACTTATTCTGCATTTCTTAATTTCTCTATTACTTTTAATTGCCATTAACTAATAACTCTCTTCATAGTCTTCCTTGCAATATTTCATATAATCCTCCTTACAGAACTTCTTGCAGTCCTACTAGCGTAATCTGCTTATTACAATTGCTTTTCAAATAGCTCAGATATTTACTCCAGTCTTCTAAGAATCTCTGGTCCCGCAGGTTTCAAATCCTTCCTGTTAATTTATCTAATTCTGCATAGTCCATTAATTTCATTTGCCATTCTTTCGTCGGTAATGAGAATTTCAGCTTCTCATTCCTGCTATACCTGCTGAAATTCCCTCTCCTAGACAACTGTTAAAGATGCAAAAGCCCTGGCTTCTTTTCTTTTCCCAGATGCCCATGAGAAGGTCATAAGCTATCTATCTATCTATCTATCTATCTATCTATCTATCTATCTACTTATTTGTTCATTCATTCATCCATCCATCCATCCATCCATCCATGGGAGGATAAGGCTATCAGTGACTCCTAACCCTGATGGCTGTGTTCTACTTCCACTGTTGAAGACTGAATACCAGTCGATGGATGATGGAAACCACAGAAGGGGGGTGTTGCTGTGCTCAGGTCTTCCCTTAGACATCTGCTTGAGCACTGTGAGAACAGGGTGCTGTGCTAGATGTACCACTTGCCTGATCCAGCAGGACTCATCTTATGTTCATCCATCACACAATGAACAGAGGGCAAAACAATCTCCCCTCTTTGCTAGGAAGTACATCAGACATAGGAAGAGTGCACTATATGCCCAGACAGCTCAGTTGGTTTGAGCAAACTGCTGATAATGCCAAGGTTGCTAGTTCAATCCCTGTGTGAGACAGCTACATATTCCTGCATTGCAGGGGGTTGGATTAGATGATCCTTGGGGTCTCTCCCAATTCTATGATTCTATTATTTCAATTGCAACTCTTGCAAATGGAGGTTGTCAGCACGTTGCTCCTGCAATGGTCTACTGTGCATGCTGTAGCTCAGTGTTTGGAGCTCATTCGAATAGGAATAAATGAAGCTGTCTTATAGTGAGACCATTTATCCATCTGGCCAAGTAATGTCTGTTCTGGTAGGCAGTGACTCTTGGCTTCCAACAAGGGGTCCTTCACACCACTTACTACTTTACATTCCTTAAATATGCTGGGGATTGAATTCTGAGACTTTCTGCGTGGGAAGCGCATCTCTGGATGGTGAAATGTTCTCAGGGTGCTGCACTTAACCTGGGTTTGCTTCTCTTTGGAAGGAGGTTACTGCAGGTTTGTGGGCATTTGGTAAATATTTACAGACGTACAAGTTGCCCATAGAACCTAAGCACCATATTTTTCACTCTATAAGACGCACCAGACCATAAGACGCACCTAGTTTTTAGAGGAGGAAAACAAGAAAAAAAATATTCTGAATCTCAGAAGCCAGAACAACAAGAGGGATTGCTGCGCAGCGAAAGCAGTGATCCCCCTTGCTGTTCTGGCTTCTGGGATAGCTGCGCAGCCTGCATTGGCTCCATAAGATGCACACACATTTCCCCTTACTTTTTAGGAGGGAAAAAGTGAGTCTTATAGAGCAAAAATATGGTACTTTTCACATGGCTCCCACATCAGATCTCTAGAGCGACAGCCAAGCCCCTGAGATGCTTTCAGAACCCAAGCTCAGGCTCTCTATGCCTTTCTCTCTCATACAAATGCACTCTGTTCTGCTCGCTTCATTCGCAAACACATATCCACCCCCATCTTGAGCTGGGCGCAGGGTCTTCTCCCTTCTCTGCTTGTTCTTTTCAGAACACTCCCCCCCCCCCAAATAATCCTGCATCGAGATACAATTGCTTAACGATTTAGTTCCCACATTAATACATTTCCTGCAGTTTACATCACAAATGGATATGCCTGACCAACATGCTTCAGTAGCAACTATGTGCAAGATTCCTGCATTGGCAGAATGACCCTTGGTCATAGCTGTCAACTTTTCCCTTTTCTTGCGAGGAATCCTATTCGGAATAAGGGAATTTCCCTTTTAAAAAGGGAAACGTTGACAGCTATGCCCTTGATGTCTCTTCCAACTCTACAGTTCTATGATTCTATGTTTGACCAACTTTAAGCAGTCCATCGAGCCCATTGAACCTCTTCTGTCAAGCCCTCCAATCTTACAATAGATTCCATTAACAAATCTATGACTCACTCCCCCCTCTTTTTTTGTCCCACTGCTGTCTGTGGTCAAACAAACCTGGCAGGCAAAAGCTTGTTCTTAGCTGAAAAAAGGAGAAGCGCTAGGTGTCTGGGAAGAGGGATTGATTGTTAAACCACTCTGAGAATTGTATTGTAGTTGTGTGAAGGGAAAGGGGATAAACTCTCAGCTCCTTTAACAAACCACAGTTCTCAGGATATTGGGATGGGGGAGTCATGGCTGTTTAAAGGGGTTTGATATTGCTTAAGTGGTATAATACTGCTTTAAATGATGGGTCCTGAGACTGAAGAGGAAGAAGCCAAGACAGCCATGTCCATCTACTTAGTTGGTTGTAGGTAAGAAAGAAAGCAGGTGAGGGCTGGCTGAAAGCAGACTAAGGTTGGTAGGTCAATGCCCCATTCAGCCTGATGGACCAGCCATAAATGCTCAACATGTCATTGGACTCTAGCTCCCATCATGCCCAGTCAGTATGGTCCATTGTGAGGGGAAATGGGAGCTGTTGTCCAAGAACATATGGAGACCACCATGTTGGGGGAGCCTGGTCTACTGTTTCAAGACCAGTCAACCAGCAGAGAATTCCAAGGGCCAGATAGCAAGGCCTTGGGGCCACATTCAGTCCCCAAGCCTGAGGCTTTCCACCCCTGTTTTAGTTAAATTCAAAGTAAATCCCTCAAGCCTGCACCTTGTCCTCTCTAGCGGATCCAGGTTTTAAAAGCTGTTTCATGTTGGTGATTCGTGCAGAGCTTGCAGTCCTTCCAGTGTGAGGATGTGTGTGAGTGTTTGTTGCAGGAGGCAACCCCAAGAGGATGGAGCGGGACAACCGCACCACGATGGTGAAGGAGTTTGTGCTGCTGGGTCTCTCTCAGAGAAGGGAGGTCCAGCTCTTTCTCTTTGTCCTCTTCCTCTTCTTTGACACCCTCATCTTGCCTGTGAACATCCTCATCATCGTGACCATCTTGAGCAACCCCCGCCTCAGCTCCCCCATGTTCTTCTTCCTGGGCAACCTGGCCTTCCTAGACCTCTGCTACTGCTCAGTCACCCCGCCCAAGATGTTGGCTGACCTGTACTCGCAGCGGAAAGCCATCTCATATTGGGGCTGCATGTCCCAGATCTTCTTCCTCCACTGGCTGGGGGCGGCCGAATTCCTCCTCCTCATTGGCATGGCCTTTGACCGGTACGTAGCCATCTGCCACCCTCTGCGTTATGGCAACGTGGTGAGCAAAGCTGTCTGCTGGGGACTGGTTGCAACCGTGTGGCTCCTTGGCTTAATGCATTCCCTGATCCAGTTCATTCCCATCATCCAGCTCCCCTTCTGCGGCCCAAACAAGCTGGACAACTTTTTCTGCGACATCAACCAGATCATCAAGCTGGCCTGCACCGACACGTACAACCTGGAGTTTGTCATGTTCTTCAACAGCGGCTTGGCCACTTTGATATGTTTCATTCTCCTCCTCATCTCCTACGGGGCCCTTCTGTCCAAGGTGAGGTCCAGCTCCACCAAAGGGAAGGGCAAGACAGCCTCCACGTGCGTCACACACATCATCATCGTCTTCATCATGTTCGCTCCCGCAATCTACATGTACTGCCGCCCCTTCCAGGCCTTCGCTCTCGACAAGTTGGTCGCCATCTTCCACACCGTGGTCTTCCCCTTAATGAACCCCATGATCTACACCCTGAGGAACAACGAAATCAAGGTTGCCATATGGAAGATGGTCACCAAAACCAAGGTCTGGGGTGGGAAGTGACATGGCAGGAGCAGAGCATGATCCCTCACCTGTATTAACTCTCTGCTTTTCGCTGCATTGTCAGGGTCAGTCATGGGCATGTAGGGATGGGGAAGGAACTCAATTCAGTTCACATTTAAAAGTGAATCTTCCAGGGCACCTTCTATCATATGTGGTGGAATTGCAAAACAATAAAGGAATTCTGGGAAATGATATATAATGAACTTTAAAAAATGTTTAGAATAACTTTTGTTAAAAAAAACCCAGAAGCCGTTTTGTTAGGAATTGTAGGTGCAGAGATACCGAAGGAATTGAAAAGACTGCTTATGTACAGCTGCAAGGATGGTGCTTGCCCAGATTTGGAAAAATGATAAGATACCTACGAAAGCAGACTGGCAGATGAAAATACTAGACTATGCAAAGATGGCAAGACTGACCGGGAAAATCAGAAATTGGGAGGATCAAAACTTCAATAGAGAATGGGACGGATACAGACTGTATCTAAAAGAAAACTGTAAACACTTGAACTCTTTGACAGGCTTTAAATAACTTTTGCAATGTCACAAAGACTTTGGATATAATAGAGGAATGTAATCTGGATGAGTTTATCATATGCGGTTGGCAAAGGTATTTAAAGAACCCACGGAGAGGAGGAGAGAAGTCCTAAGATTTGGAAGAATCTTGTTCTAATTTTAAAATTTGCAAGAATTTTATTTGTGTGAATGAACTTGTAAAACCAAATAAAACTTTATGAAAAAATATAAATAAATAAAAGTGAATTTACCAGATTTACACCTTCAGAAGCAATAAGGTAACCGAAACACAGCCATCCTTCGAAATTCACACTTCTCTGAACTTTCACAATGCAGTTCTCTGACAGACCAGGGTTTGCAAAAATGCATACACTGGGGTAAAGAATGCCTGCTAATGAATACACTAGTGAAAACAACACACAAAAATTCATTATGCTAGGAAACTTTGCTTGCAAAAATGTGTTCTTTAGTCAAAACTACATACAGAAGTGTGTTTATTAGGAGAAATCAGCACCAAAATGCTGGTGAATTTTCATGAGGATTTCCCACACACACACTGATCTGCAGAACTGGCACTTTTACGGGTACCCCTTAATACCCATTCTGCATTCATAAGAAATCAATCTTTCAGTGTGGCACCACCTACACTGTGGAACTCCCTGCCTGTTGACATCAAGTAGGTGCCTTCACTGTACTCTGTTCAGCCCTTGTTAAAAACATTGTTGTTTAGACAAGCCTACCCAGACATGGAGGGATGCGGGTGGCGCTGTGGGTTAAACCACGTAGCCTAGGACTTGATGATCGGAAGGTCGGCGGTTCAAATCCCCATGACAGGGTGAGCTCCCGTTGCTCAGTCCCTGCTCCTGCCAACCTAGCAGTTCAAAAGCACGTCAAAGCACAAGTAGATAAATAGGTACCACTCCACTCCGGCGGGAAGGTAAACGGCATTTCCGTGCGCTGTTCTGGTTCACCAGAAGCGGCTTAGTCATGCTGGCCACATGACCCGGAGGTGGTACGCCGACTCCCTTGGCCAATAAAGCGAGATGAGCACTGCAACGCCAGAGTCAGCCACGACTGGACCTAATGGTCAGGGGTCCCTTTACCTTTACCCAGACATGTAGTATGTTTTAATCCATTTTTCATTTACTGCTGATTTTGTCTTTGAAAGCTTTAAAGGGTTGTTTTTACTGATATTTCTATTGTTTTATTCTCTTTCTAAACCGCTTTGAGGGGTTTTATGTACAATCAAGCAATCTGTGGATTTTATGAGTCAAATATAATATTGAGAGGGGGTGTTCTTGTCCCAGTTTCATTGCGCTGTAGAACAACAGTGCCCTCCAGTGGTTACACTGTAGAAGCATCACAGAAAAACTAATAAAGCAGAATTATTGTGGAAGGACAGCCTTCTATGACTGGTGCAATATTATTGCATCAATGGCATGATGCAAAACACATCCCAGGAAGTGGAGTGCGGAGATAGCAGACAGGAGGAGCTCCCATAGCACCTGGGAGTTTGGGAAAGAGGACAGGACATAACTGCCAGTCCCTAGCATTTCCCCTTTGTTGCTGCCAGCATCTTTTTGGAGGAATAACAAGCATCATGCTGCAGGTGGCGGCTGGAGGCTCAGGTATAAAGCCCAGAGCCCTGCAGTCAGGGGCAAATTACCAGCTAGAGAGCAGCTGACGATGGGGACTAGGAATGGGAGAGGCCTGAGGTTCAGTTACCATTTAAAAGCAGGCCTATCTAATCCACAGTTGCCAAAGTGATACGCAAAGCGAAACCTTTGAAAGGAAAGAAAGCCACCCACTTCTCCCAATTTTGCAGGACACGTCTGCTGCCAAATGATGACTTCAGAAATGTATATATTAGGTCAGCAAACTTTTTCAGCAGGGGGCCGGTCCACTGTCCCTCAAACCTTGCGGGGGGCCAGACTATATTTTGAAGGGGGGGAAATGAACAAATTCCTATGCCCCACAAATAACCCAGAGGTGCATTTTAAATAAAAGCACACATTCATTCTACATTCACATTCTGATTCCCAGATTTAGAAGGCGATTGGGCCGGATCCAGGCCCCGGGCCTTAGTTTGCCTACCCATGCATTAGGGTGTGCTTAAAAATGCCTGTGTGAGTGAAAATAGCATAACAAAATGCATTAGATCACGAAGAAAGTGTATGTATGTTTGAGAAAATGTCATTTAAAAATGGGTATATTCAGGGAAAAAAATTGCGCCTAGATGCTTAGTACAGTTTCATGAGGAGATGTTAAGAAAAAAACAAACCATGGCAAACTGATGTGGAAATGAGAAGAAATGAACTTAAGATGGAAAAAATGAGAAACTGAAATTGATAGATTTGCCTGCCCTTAATGGAGCAAACAGCCGTCTCAATCATCCTTCCAAGCAGTCAAAAAGCATTTTTGGGAGTCCAAGGACACATAACAGCTAGGGAGAAACATTCAGGGTGCAAAGTTGGGGAGAGCAGTGAGGCATTTGGCCTGGGGAGAGTTCTGAGGGCCAGATGGAGGGGGCTGGAGGGCCATATGCAATACTCATGTCTCAGGTTCCTCACCTCTGGTTCAAAATGTTGGAAGGAAGGAGAGGTTCCAACAAAGGAAGATTGGCTTTTGAAAACAATGGAGTATGCAGAACTGGCAGGATTAACAGCAAAGAGACCAAAATGATGAAAAGTTCCTTGAGGACTAGAGACTTTTAATTGAGACTTTTTACTATAGCGAGATGAAAACACGAGCAGGACTTGGAATATCAAGAGAGTTAATTATAAAGGTCAATAGGTTAACATGGATGTATTGGATATTATATGTGAAATATACAGCATTTAAGGGTAAATATGGAAACCATGGAAGGGGGGACAGGAAGTCAATGGATAAAGCAATTTATGGTCCATGCTGAAATCTGTAAAGTTTTTTCTGAAAAATCAATAAATAATATTTTTTTAACAATCCAATCCTGAGGACTATTAAACAAAGACAGATGGAAACTTTCTTTCAAGTCCACTTGCTCTACTGGGACTCATGTTCTGTCAATTTCTGAGCAGAAACCTTAGCGGGAAAAGAAAAAGGAAAGAAATTGAGAGATGGTGCTGTTGCTTGGAGGTTGTGAAACAGGAATTTATCGAATTTGACATTGCCAAATTTCTGCTTTGAAGCAAAACGGAAGCCAACAGAAAGGATTCAAAACAGTCTCGACACAAATTGATCTTGATCCCTGCAATATTTCAAAGGTGCAGGGATCGATTCGCAGTTGGTATAAAAAGATACATTTGCAACCATTATGGTAACAACAGCAACAGTAGCGAAGGAAGGGGGGGGGAGATGTAAGCAGCAATGGCATATTATGGACACCAGAGGGCAGCAAAACCCAGACTTTTGGACATGAACATTGCATGCTGAATGTTCAGGAAACTTTCCTTGTTCACAAACACACACACACAGCTCCACCATGGGAGTAGCCAGGATTTTTGTTGGGGAGGGGCCAGACTTTTGTTAGGGGGGCATAACCGAAGGGATTGGTCAGTTAGTCAAGTATTTCTATTGTTCTACTTCATGGGGGGGCAACTGCTCCCCCCTTGGCTAGGCTAATGAGCTACCCCTCCCCATTTATGCATTTACATGCATGTTTATTTTATTCAGGCTACTAACATTGTGATTTATCTATATGTAAGTTAGTGAGTAGTGAGTAGAAATTTAAAAAATATATCGTGGATATATTTTTTAATGGATAGTGTAATTTCTGCGTCACCAAAAACTGGGCGACATCACACCAGAGTCACATTTTGGTCTGCCATCTTGATTCAAAATGTCGCCTGTCTTCCAAACATCAATGAAGACACCCACCCCAATGTTGGGAACCAATGGCAATGATATCTTGAGAGGTGGCCAAACTGGTGCCAAAAAGGCGGTGAAGTCATGCCAAAGTTATGTATTTCCCCCCTGCCATCTTGAATCAAAATAACACCCAGTGTCCAAATGCCGGTGGAGAACTCCAACCAAAGGACTGTCATGCCAAAGTTGGTGACAAGATCTCAAGAGGCAGCTGGAGTCATGGCAGAGTTTTGTTTCAGTCTGACACACCCTGTTTCAAAATGGTGGAACCTGAGGGACTCTTGCGCCGAGTTTAGTGACAATATCTTGCAACAAAACGGGCAAACCATTTCCGAACATATATACAGTGGTACCTCCAGTTACAGACGCTTCAGGTTACAGACGCTTCAGGTTACAGACTCCGCTAACCCAGAAATAGTACCTCGGGTTAAGAACTTTGCTTCAGGATGAAAACAGAAATTGTGCCGCGGCAGCGGGAGGCCCCATTAGCTAAAGTGGTACCTTGGGTTAAGAACAGTTTCAGGTTAAGAATGGACCTCCAGAACGAAATAAGTTCTTAACCCGAGGTACCACTGTAATGCAATTTTAAGGCCTTTTGTGAAAATAGTCTGTTGGAAGAGACAATAGAAGCTTTGATGCGCTTTG